TTATAATTCTAATTATTCGTAATTTACTCTTGAAAATGTAATTAAAATAAATTAATATCTATTGCAACTTAATTCTTAAAAATAATTTGCTCATTTTTTTTTTATTTTTTTGACGATTAACTAAAATAATAAATAGAATCGTCTTCTTATAAATAGGAAAATTTTATAGAAATCGACTTTGGAAGAAATGATTTCTCGATTTGAAAACGACTGCTGCGAAGATACTATGCTATGATTTCTTACTTGCGTTTTCTCATGGACATCTCAAAAATGATCGAAACGCGTATTTCAGAACTGGATGTCGAAATGATTTCCGATCAGCGACGGCGTTGCCGACAGGAAAATTCTTATCGTCTCTGGAAGATAAGTAAACCCATCCTGCCGACAGAGACTGTTCATCGATTGTAAATCTAACTGCTATTGCGATATCAAGTGGCCATTTACTAGATTTTACAATTAACGCATAAAATTATTACACTATTCAATACATTTTAGATTACGGGACAAAATGATTCTTACAGCTTTTTTATAACTAAAAATGAATTCGTAAATATAATTGTTTTATCACGTCATGTTTTTGAGAAAATTGAATCTAAAAGTGCCGAAAATTGGCACTTTTATACCTTTGAGCTAAAGTATCTCAAAAGCGTGACATGATAGAGCAATTTCATTTACACGGATTCGTTTACAGCGATAAAAAATTTGTAAAAGTCACCTATTGTATTGGCTGCTTTCATTCTTCATCTAATTCCAAGAAAATTACGTAAAGGCGTTTATCGAGAATTGCAATGCTACGACATAAATATATAATAAATTTCTTTGATAAGAATTTTTGTTTAAGGTTTTATTAAAGAATTTTTTTTAATGATGCTCGCAAATTATTCTGTATATTTTTGTAAAGTGTTCCAAATCACGATAGTTTACTTATCTGATATTTTTGTCGCGATAGCGTGAGTGATATGACGCGGAAGAGAATCTTCATTAATGCTTAGTCGAGAGACCATTAATTTGATTTTATCTCCGCGCTCGTGTCTTTCATTCTTATTTTTAAAGTGTCGCATTTAAAAACCTTGAACTCATTAAGGCGTAGAGCGCATCTCGAAGAGACTGCTCACAAATTTTGTGAGCATCCTTTTAAACTCTTTTTTTAAACATTAAATTATTTTTATCAAAGTAATATATAAAAAATTGGATTGGTTGAAATAAATTGACAAAAATACATAATTTATACTCCAAGGAGTATCGCTTTTTCCGCCTAGTTTTATTATTTTTACGCGAAGTCTTTATGTAGCGATACATCAGGAAAAGTCGATCGATTCTTGCCGCATATCCCAAGATAAGCATCGATCGTCTTTGGCGTTTTCATACGTTATTACTCTAGGAAATTAATGACTTCTTTTCGCGTAAAAAGCAGAGTGGGAACAATGACGATGATGGTGACAGTGAAGATTTTCGATCGGCTTGCTTTGGAAATCTGATCACCAACTGTGTGTCACTAGGTCGACACACGAACATAGAGTACGTATACAGTACATGCGTCCTGCGCAAGTCATACTGCAAGTCGCGGGGGAAGTCTGTGGTACGGTGACGAAAGACGAAGAGAGATTTCGAGGAGCGGAAGAGAGTAGTATCAAGGTGATTCGAGAGAGCGAGAGAAGAGAGAGAGAGAAGAGAGAAGAGAGGAGAGAGAGAGAGAGAGAGAGAGAGAGAGAGAGAGAGAGAGAGAGAGAGAGAGAGAAATAAACGGGGATAGAACGAGGCAGTCGCAGGTGAAAAGGAAATGCAAGTAAGAGGGATGGAGGATCCATGAAAACGAGAGCATAGAAGAGGGAGAATTTGCGAGAGCGAGAGAAAAAGGGGTTGAATTATGATAGAGAGATAGAGAAGAGACCACGCATTGACAGAAGTGAAGGGGATGATTTCCGGAGTGAATAAGAGAGAGAGAGAGAGAGAGAGAGAGAGAGAGAGAGAGAGAGAGAGAGAGAGAGAGAG